CTTCTGAGTCTGGCTTTTTTAAAATTGTTAATTCCTTGGAACTTTTCTGCATAGTCTGAACCTTGATCCTCAGATCTCAGCCTCCTGATAGCTACAGGTACCCTGCTCAATTATTTGCTTCTTTTGATAACCTTGTTCACTGTGATATTCCTTGAGTCTTCCTTGCTCCATAGGATTCTGTAGAGGTCAATGAAGTAAAATGCTTTATCTAGAACCCTCCTCTTAGCCCAATGAGTTCCCTTCTCATAGCTTAGCATACTCCTTCCCCCTTCCACAGCTTGGCAAATTCCCTTCCTAGGCAACACTAGACCCATTTATTAAAGGCAGTAAATAATCAGCCTCCAAACCCCCTTTACCTTGAGATGGCACTCCTCTGGGACAGCTACCACCAAATAAGGCAGCAAGAACCCTTTAGAGTGACCTTCAGGTCTGGGCAGCTGCAGGACCCCTTACCTACTACTTGGGCAGCAGCCATAAATCCTAGCCTGCCATGATGAAGCCCCTGGCCCTCACGTCCATACTGGGGTCTCTGCCTCCTAGTCCCTTCTAGCCCCTCCTAGGTTATATAGGTCACCTCAGACAATAGCCAGCACTTCTTCTCACTTCTCACTTGTGAGAAAGGGTCTTGCTGGTCCCTTACTGTCAATAAACCTTTTCTTTGCTCTTTGTACCTGGATGTCTGTGTGGTTTTCTGGCAAAGTCTAATATACTCTAACACCTCCCCCAGTGGTATTGGTAGAAAATGGCCCAGTAGAACTGGCAGGATTGGGACAGGATCAAAAGGACAGGCAAGTCAGAGGCTGAAGTGTCTGCTGGGGCATTTTCTATAAGTTGTTACTCGCAGGTCATTCTCTGCAGGTGCTTACTTCCACCCCTTTACCCTCATCGCTCTCAGACTACTAGTAGCCCAATTGTTATCCTTTTCTAGTCTTACCCTCCAAAGCCTGGCTCTGGCTCCACCTCCTTCAGGAAGCCTAAAAGCCTTTGGAGGCTCTCAGCCCACTCATTCATTGCATGGTAGGTGTTTCTGTGGTCCCTGCGTGGATGCTTAAGGAGACTGGGAGCCAAAGAAGAAAGTTCAACAGCCCATTTCCTTCAGGAGTTTATTATTCAGTGTATTGGTTAGCATGCCACCTTGGACTTTAATTTACATACATGTTAAAATAGAATATTAGTTCTATATATTATACCTAATATTGGCTTTTCATTTTAAAAGCAATTTAAAAGATAGACAAATTAAATCATTAATAATCCTATTACCCAGAGGCAATCTTTGTAACATCATAATGTCCATTCTGAAAAATGCTGCTTGTAACTGACTTTGGAACACCATCAATCTTTTAGAAAAGTGGCCTTACAACTCTAGCCTTGCTAGGGCATGGGGAACTTCCCACTATACATTTTCCCTGGATCTACCAGCTTTTAACATGCTTTTGAGTTTCCTTTTTTATTCCCTTTGTCTAGAAAGCCTGGTAACAGAAAATATACCTGTCATAATTACAGGCATCTTTAATCTGTGAAAAAAATAGGTGCTGCTGGCTAACACCTGTAATCCTAGCTACTAAGGAGGCTGTGACCTGGAGAATCACAGTTCAGAGCCAGCCAGAAATGAGATTCCATCTCCAAAATAACCAGCAAAATCTAGATTGGTAGAAGTGGTAGAAGACCAGCTGAGCAAGCAAGCCAAGCAAGGGAGAGTTCAAACCCCAGTACCAGCATAAAAAATAAAATAGTACCTACACTTTAAAATTTTATGACTGCTTTACATATTTACTCATGTTCTTTTTGCCCAGTCAGTTGAAAGTAAATTATATCAATTCATCCCATTGTACCTCAGTGACTTATCTCTTAAGATCAAGGACATTCTCTTCATAACCACAATACCATTACTACACTTAAGAAATTTAACATGGGGTGGGGCTGGGAAGGTGGCTCAGTGGTAGAGTGCTTGCCTTGCATGCATGAGGCCCTGGGTTTGATTCCTCAGCACCACATAAGAAAAAAGAAAAAAGCTAGAAGTGGCGCTGTGGCTCAAGTGGTAGAGCACTAGCCTTGAGCTGAAGAACTGAGGGACAGTGTCCAGGCCCAGAGTTCAGGCCTCATGACTGGACCCCCCCCCCCAAAAAAAAAAAAAGAAATTTAACATGGGGTTGGAAATGTGGCTTAGTGGTAGAATTCCTGGCTAGCTTGTATGAAGCCCTGGGATTAATTCTTCATATCACATAAACAGAAAAAGCTGGAAGTGGCACTATGGGTCAAGGGGTAGAGTGCTAGCCTTGAGCAAAAGAAGCTCAGGGACAGTGCTCAGGCCCTGCGTTCAAAGCTCCAGGACTGGCAAAAAAGAAAAAAAGAAGTTTAACATGGATAAAATTCTTTTTTAAAAAATTAATCTAGAGTCTATATTCCAAATTTGCCACATTTTAATAATGGCCTTGAAAATATTTCCCCTCTAATTCAGATTCTATCCCAAGCCATACAAGCTAGTAAACTGATTCTTTTTAATGTAGATCCAGTTTTCAATCTTTGTCTTTATGACATGGACATTTTGATGAACAAGATCACTTGTTTTATGGAATGCTTCTCAATTTGGGTTCATCAGATGTTTTCTTGTGATTAGGTTAATTCCCTCCAGAATATCACAGTGGTGTTGCTCTGGACTTATTGAACTGTCACGTCTAAGGCACACAGTACCCATCATCCGCCCTTCAGTGGGTTTTGGGTTGTTTGCTTGTTTGATTGTTTTCTTTTTTCTTTTTTTTTTGTCGGCCGTGGGGCTTGAACTCTGGGCCTGGGCACTATCCCTCAGCTCTTCAGCTCAAGGCGAGCGCTCTACCACTTGAGCTACAGCGCCACTTCTGGTTTTCTGGTGGTTTATTGGAGATAGGAGTCTCACTGTTTCTCCTGCCTGGGCTGGCTTTGAACCGCGATCCTCAGATCTCAGCCTCCTGAGTAGCTAGGATTACAGGCGTGAGCCACTGGCGCCCGGCTTGATTGATTTCTGAGTTAAGGTCTTGCAAGGTAGCACAGGCAGGCTGGAACTTGCTATGTAACCAGGCTAGGATAGAACTTGCAATCCTCCTGCCTCAACCTTCTGAGTGCTGGAATTATAGGCTTGTGCCACTATGCCTGGCTGTCTAATAATCCTTTTGACATAGCCCTGTCACTTGTGTGTATGGTTGGGAGATGACACTTCATTACTTTCTAGTATAGCAAAGCCTAGAATCACAAATCCAACCCGGGAATCACTTCCCCAAGGAGCCTTAGTACCATTTAGTGGACTTGGATTTCAATATTATCTCCTCTTTTTGCTCTTCATTTAGCATTTATCTCTAGTTATTTTCTTACTTATTAAGTTGTTATAGGACTTGTATGTGTTTTACAAATTCATAAACATTTTTCATATCATAGCCGTTGCCTGAAAATGTGATTGAATAGTATTCAACCATATGAATGGGCTATCCCTTATCTAACCAGCCACTCTTATAGATAACATAGCAGTAGACATCTTGAACATATACTTTTTTGGGGGTGGGGCAGTACAGGCCTTGAACTCAGGCCTTGAGTACTGTCCCTTAGCTACTTTGCTCAAAGCACTCTACCCACTTGAACCACTTCTTGCTTTTTGGTGGTTAATTAAAGATAAGTGTCTATGGGCCTTCCTGTCCAGGCTGGCTTTAAACTGTAATCCTCAAATCTCAGCCTCCTGAGATAAGCATGCCAACGTGGACTTTAATTTAGGATTCTAGGCATGAACTACTGGTGCTGGCCTGAACATGGACTTCTGACCACATCTCTGAATATTATTTCCTTAGACAAAATTCTGAGAGCTGAAGTTTTGCCAGGACAACAGTGTGAGCACCATTTTGTCATGGAGTGGTTTAGGCCATTTAAGCTGTGAGAGGTTAGGAAAGCAATTGTTTGGGTTAGGAATGGGGCTAAGGCTTGATTTGTCTCATTTGTACCCAGAGCGGGATGGAAGTAGGGTATGCTGTACAGGGGCTGCTAAGATGAGGAGAGAAATGGAGGTGAGATGTGAAGACAAACTTTGAGGTAACCTGTAGCTGATGATAGGATCTATGCTGGAAGTAACAGGAAAGAGATTAATTACAGAAGCTGTTGCCCTTGTAAGCAAGAGGAGAGGATGCTGAGGTTTCCATTTCTTCCACTATGCAGAGAATGATGCTTGGGGAGCTATGGGGCTTTGGGGAGAAATTAGAGGCAGAATCTAGAGAGTAGTAAGTGAGGCCTGAAACCCTAGCATTTGGAACCTTCCCCCCATTCCCATGCTTGGCACCCTCTCTTTTTCCCTTGAGTTTGGCTTTGCCTAGCTGGCTTTATCCTTAGGCAGAAGGCCCCTCTGTAGCGTTGCTAGGTTTCTTTTCATTGTGCTCGAATGCCTGTGGCCTGCTTAGTACAAAGCCCTCCTTTTCCAGGACCCCTTCTCTGGGACAAGGCTGGGGGATGGGGGAGCTGCCCCTCATCCTGAGGCTCATCACATCACATCTCCAGGGCTATGCATTGAAAGGAGGCCTCTGGGCTGTGAGCTTAGTGCTGCCATGCTTCATCTCTGCCTGGGGAGTAGAGCTGAACCTTGGAGAGGGCCCTGTGAGGGGCAGGGAAGCTGAGAGGTGGCTGGGGGCCAGGTCTCACCTCCAGCCTGCAGTGATGATTGGGAGTGTCTGAGGATTCAGAATAGATGTTAGGACTATGGAAGAAAGGGAGGACAGTGAGAAGCACCTGGAAGGGAAGTTCAGCTACTCAGCCATCGAGTGTCTCAGTGGTCTCTCTGAGCTGACTTTAGGAAGCTCTCAGCCCAGAAAAGCTGCCCTCGAGTTCTCTGAATGACAAGGCTTCATGGGCCTTCATTACCCACAGTGTGGAGTCCTTCAGATTGGGGGACCCAACTCACAATGATGAGTTTGGAATGGGGTTCCTAGTGTTCTGAGGATGGTATACCACATCTGACCTCCCCTCCTCTCCTTTCCCACCTTCTTCTCCAGACGTCCTTCTATGGCCGCTTCAGGCACTTCTTGGACATCATTGACCCTCGCACACTCTTTGTCACTGAGGTGAGTCATGGCCACCATTCTCACTGGAGGACCTGGGGCTACTGTACCTTGTCATTTGGGAATGTGTGGGTCATCTGAAGGAAGGTGGGGGGGGGGAGAAGGGAGGGGAGGAAAAGAAAGATAACATATCTAAATCTTTATCAACCAGAAAGAGTTCCCTTGCCCTTTGTTTGCTGTGTGCCTTTCCAGGGCATTTCATTTGCATCTCACAATGTTCTTTCAAGACAGGTGGCATTGTTATTACTATTTACAAGTGTAATGAAGCCAGGTATTGGTGGGTCACATCTGTAATCTTAGCTACTCAGGAGGCTGAGATCTGAGGATCACTGTTCGAAGCCAGTCCAGGTAAGAAATGTGTGAGACTCTTATCTCCAATTAACCACCAGAAAATGGGAAGTGGTGCTGTGACTCAAAGTGGTAGAGTGCTAGCCTTGAGCGGAAAAAGCTCAGGGACAGTGCCAAGGCCCTGAGTTCAAGCCACATGACCAACTAAAAGTTAAAATAAAAAGAAAAAAAGTAATGAATTTACTAGAACTACATGAATTATATGCTCATTACAAAAGGTTATACAAGACTGAAACTCCATTGTAGAAAGCTTGTCTATTATGCAAGGGTTCCTGGGTTTGATTCCAAGCACTTCACTGCAAAGAAAAACACATACACAGAGAGACAAAGACAGAGAGAGAAGGGCAGGAGAGGGAGAGGGAGAGGAAGCGAAATGAGACAGACATGAGAGAGATTCAAATAGTACAGACAGATGTGGTGTTTTTTGTTTGTTTTGTTTTGGTTGTGGGGTACCACTTTAAGCCATAGCTCCATTTCTGGTTTTCTGGTGGTTAGTTGGAAATAAGAGTCTAGTAAACTTTCCTGCCTGGGCTGGCTTGAACCTCAGTCCTCAGATCTCAGCCTCTTGAGTAACTAGGATTAGGTGTGAGCCAACAGTGCCCATCTACAGAGTGTTTACGTAGAATAAGAAGTTATCTTTCATTATCCTCCTTACCCAGTTCCTTCCTCTTTCAGGTAACAATTGACAATTGTTGATGGCTTTTAATATTAGGTCTTTTAAGCCCTTTAAAAACTGTTCTATGATTTTTGACAAATATGTTCAGTCCTATCTCTACAACTACTGTCAAGATGTAATACATTTTCATCATCCTGTTTCTTTATAATCCATTTGCCCTTCCCCCAGCCCCCGTGGCTCCTCTTCTGCTTTCTGTTTTTATTGTTTTTTTATTCCCAGCCCATTGCATTAGTAGTCTCCTACAGCATGCCATCTTTTAACATAATGACTTGAGATCTGTCCATGTTGTTGCATGTATCAATACTCATATCTTCTTATTGGTGAGTAGAGTTCCATAGAAAGGATGTTCCAGAATTTGTTTATCTATTCACTTGTTGATGAACACTTCCACTTTTTCCAGTTTTGTGCTATTATGAATAAAACTGCTATGAATATTCTTTTTATGGATGTATGCTTTATGTCTCTTGAATAAATAACTAAGAATGGGATTGATGGTTCATATGATAAGCATAATGAATACAATAGCTGACCTTACCAGAAACTGCTACACTGTTGTTCAAAGTGGTTGTTCATCTTACATTCCTATCAATGATCTTTAAAAGTTCTAGTAGTTCCACTTCCTCACCAACACTTGCTATTATCAAATTTTACATTTTGGGGGAATACCTTCCTAAGATGTGTGTGTTTTTAAAAGCTTTTCATTTGTATTTTCAACTGTGCAAGAATACAGGTACATATAAAATAGCAAGCATTTTATTTTGTTTTATTTTTTGTTGGCCGTGGGGCTTGAACTCAGGGCCTAGGTGCTGTCCCTCAGCTCTTGAGCTCAAGGCTAGTGCTCTACCACTCGAGCCACAGAGCTACTTCCAGTTTTTTGGTGGTTTGTTGGCGATAAGAGTCACACAGACTTTCCTACCCAGGCTGGCTTTGAACTGCTCTTCTCAAATCTCAGCCTCCTGAGTAGCTAGGATTACAGGCGTGAGACACTGGTGCCCAGTGTTTTTATTTTTTATTTTATTTTACTTATTGTTATTTAAAGGTGATGTACAGAAGGGTTAAAGTTACATAAGTCAGGTAATGAGTACATTTCTTTTTGAGCAGTGTCACATCTTTCCTCATTTTCTCCTTCCCAACCCCCTTCCCCCACGTGCTGCAGCAAGCATTTATGAAATGCACTCTGAGCAAGGCAATTTGTAGGCAGTTTTCTCAAATTGACACGAAATAATTATACATATTTGCAGGGTAGTGTTTCCATGCACATATATATTGTGTAATGTTCAAGTTAGAATAAGCCTATCAGTTCCCTGAAACATTGATAACTTCTTTGTGTTGAATTTGCAAGTATTTTACATGTTTGAGCTCATCAGATTAGTTCAAAGCCACCTTAGAAGGGGGATCTATTATACATTCCATTTTACAGCTGAAGAAATAGAGACAGAAGTGTCATGTATATGGTGCTGGCTGGTGGTGGAGCCAGAGTATGAACCCAGGTAGGCTTGTTCTCAGAAAGTTTGCATTTCCTGTTCAGGTAATCTAAATTACCTGTTCAGGTTGTCCTGTTCAGGGAATTTATCTGGGATGACTTGGCCTGCAGAAGGCCTAACCACCTCATACCCTGAGGCAAGTCATTGAACCTTTAAGGTGACCAGCATTTCACTCACCTCTCTATGCTGAATACTGGCTTTGTGCAACCCTGGAGTTGACCAGTTCTGGGAGAGAAAGGCCATGGTGGAAGGAAGCACAAACTTGCTGCACCTGGGCTTAGAAGCATTCCCAGTGTAACTAGGTGGCAGCCCAGGAAGTATGGGAATTACCCAATATGTGGTTTCCTGCTACAGCTTAGCAAGGACGAGGAGTTGAGGTATGTTAGTACTCAGCCTTTTTTTTGCTCCTTAGAGCTTCCTACCCCCTTGTGAGGGTTCACTTCTGGATTTTGTCTGGAGTCATAATGAATATTATTATATAAAAATTGGAGGAAACCTTAAGAAACTACTGAGCCACTGGTGCCAGTGGCTCACGCTTGTAATCCTAGCTGCTCAGGAGGCTTAGGTCTTAGGATCACAGTTTGAAGCCAGCCCAGACAGAAAAAAATCGTGAAACTCTTATCTCCAATATACTACTCAGAGAAAGCTGGAAGTGGTGCTGTGGCTCAGGTGGTAGAGCACTTGCCTTGAACACAAAGAGGCTCAGGTACAGTGCCTAGGTCCCTGAATTCAAGCCCCGGGATTGGCAAAAAACAAAGGAAGGAAGGAAAGAAAGAAAGACAAAAGAAAAAAAGAAGGAAGGAAGGAAACAAGAAGGAAGGAAACTGTTGACCAAGCTTAGGTAATATGTCATCCTAGAAAGTTCTAGAACTATGCAAAACAAAATGCAATTGCAGTGAAATTCTAACATAAAGGCTATTTGCTTGGTGTCCTCAGTAGAGGCTTGTGCTAATGGTGGACTTCAAGGCATGGTGAGAAAAAGTAGAGAGGAACTTGGCAGGTGAGAAGGTATTTCAGATTGCCAGGACAGGCTGGAGTTTTGAGGATGGATGAGCCTCTTCAGGGCAGCTTGCTACAAGTACCATGAGACTCACACCCTTCTTCCAGTCCTCCTTCTTCTCACCCTCAGATCATTTCATTGTATTCTTCTCTTCCTTGATCTACAGCTATGTTCTGCAAACTCTTACTTTTTTGTGTGTGTGTGTGTCATGGGGCTTGAACTCTGGGCCTGGGCACTGTCCCTCAGCTCTTCAGCTCAAGGCTAGCACCCTACCACTTGAGCCACAGCGCCACTTCCCGTTTTCTGGTGGTTTATTGGAGATAGGAGTCTGACAGACTTTCCTGCCTGGGCTGGCTTTGAACTCTGATCCTCAGATCTCAGCCTCCTGAGTAGCTGGGATTATAGGTGTGAGCCACTGACACCCGGCTAAACTCTTACTTTTTGAAAGACCTTAACATTTATTTTTTTATTTTATTTTTGTCTGTCTTGGGGCCTGATCTCTGGGCCTGGGCTCTGTCCCTCAGCTCTTCAGCTCAAGGCTAGTGCTCTACCACTTGAGCCACAGAGCCACTTCTGGCTTTTTCTGTTTATGTGGTGCTGAGGAATCAAACCCAGGGCCTCATGCATGCAAGGCAAGCGCTCTACCACTGAGCCACCTTCCCAGTCCCAGACCTTAACATTTTTTTTTTCTGCTTATGTGGTGCTGAGGAATCGAATCCAGGGCCTCATGCATGCAAGGCAAGCGCTCTACCACTGAGCCACCTTCCCAGCCCCAGACCTTAACATTTTTATGTACGACAAAAACGTGTTGACCTATTTCTCTTTATCAGTCAATAAAAAAAATCATAGGCTTTTTCGCCCTCTCACTACTAGTTTAAATACAAAAGTAACATTTGCCACCTAGAAAATAACAAGGCAATAGCAGTTTTAGAATAATTTTCAAATCTTTCCCTTTATCAGAGCTCTGATAGGTTTCCTAGAGAGAACTACCTCCCTTCCCTATCACACCTGAGTTAGGGATGGTTACCAGGGGCAACTGCCAGCCTGTGGGAAAGTTTCTGCTCCCAGAAGATCTTATAGCCTCTACAAAGTCTGGAAAGGCCTTGAGTGGGACCTGTAGGCCAGAAAGGTAGTGGCCTTCATCTTCACCATCTCCAGTTCAGGAATGCTGTTTGGCAAGATCATCTCTATTGATAGATACCATGAGAAATTACAGCCAGCAAGATGCATGTTTCTAATCTCAGCCCCATCCTCACCCCTGAGTCATGAGACACAGGCAGGCCAGGCTGTCCCCAACTGCTGGTTAGTCCACAGACTGTGGCTCATATTTTGTAAAACACTGTCCAGGGCTCATAGCTGGACATCACAGGAAGTGGCCTTGGAAGCTGGACATCCTCAGGTGTAGAGATCCTGGCAGCCTGAATCATCTAATGACCTGGTTTTTAGGAGCAGTAGCTAAATCAATGGAGAGACTCATCTTCAGAGAGTTCTGCAG